GTGGTTGTGTCCTTGGGCAAGACATTTCACCCACCTTGCCTGCTGGTTGCCAAATCCACAAATGGAGAGCAAGCACTCTGTTTTCTTTATTCTTTCTTGAATGTGTGCAAGGTTGATTTATGCCAGACTCACCTTGTGATGCTGAATCTTAGTCTCATCTGATCAGAGTAGACAGGCCCAATTAAGATCTAAGGCATATTTAGCAAATTACATATTGTTACTGTTGGACTAATAAGATCAATCAATCAATCAAATCAATCAAATTTTATTTGTATAGCACATTTCAGCAGTGCTTTACATAATTAAAATAAAAACAGCATGTGAGAAAGAGTTAAAAAAAATAAAATAATAAAAAAAATGACCTGCAAAAAGATTTGGAAACTAGGTTACTAAATTTAAACTGTTGGTTAAAATGTTTCCCCAACCTGTGCTCATCTTGCTGTTTAGCCACATTTCAGGACCAGCTGTTTTCCATATTTGCTGCTGTGAGAAGCTTTTGATGTTTGACACAGGCAGATAGTGTAATGCATTTTTCTCCAATCATTTTCCACTCGTGTTTCCCACCTTATTACTTCAAAGACCATGAAAACGACTGTTCTTATGTGGTCAATGGAAGCGTCCTGATTTTATTTTGTTGCCCTGCAAAATCTTATGGGCTTTCACAGTGCTTCTGTTTTATAACCTTACTAATGCATATTATCTACAATTAAATATAAAACAGTAGAGGTGTGCCTCCAATCTTATGCAAAACCTGCACCTAATACAAGTTTCCTTCTTGTATTAAAATGAAGTTGTTAATCTAAGGGATTATATATATAAAATGAGAGAAAGAGAAAAGAAAAACATATCAGTATAATCCTAATAAGGCAAATTAGTCGCCATTTTATTTTCTGGACTTTTGATCATGCCTCTCTTGTCTCCATTACTATGAATCTCAGTGACAGAGACTTTGCGCAGAGCTTTGTTCACTCACCAAGACAACCAGCTGTATGTGAAAAGTTCATACGCGGTGTCATCCAAGTTTAGATGAGCAGAGAGTGAATCATCTGAATGACTTCCATGCTCTCACTACTCTCCATGTCATTTTGTATCATCTTTGTTCATTTGCAGCACAGTACAGCATACAGCTGGGGTCCCACCAGGTCTTTTCACTGTATTATTTAATTTGTGGCCTTTTGGCATTTCAAAAGGTAAGACATATTGCTTAGCAGGGATTGACTGAACCATAAAGTTTGACCCAGAGCACAATGCCTTATAGCAAAACAAGCAAAGTTAAACTGTAGTGATTGGTTCATTTATGCACTTGTGAATAAATAGACAAATATCTCCAAACAGAGGTAACTTTTTGTTTGCCACATTTTGTCGTTGGATTATTTAAAGTTTATTCGCCGGATCTGGGCTATTGATTGAAACTTAAAGAGATCACCTTATATTTTCTTTCATGTTACATTCTGTGTGATACTGCAGTTATTTCTAAAAGAAATGCTTTGCAACTGAATTAATCAACAATGAAAGTGGTCAGTAGTGTTCGGTAGTCTGGCTTCAAAGTCAACCCAGGAAAACGTTATAATACTAGTGCCAGTATTGGAAATGAATTTGCTTTTAAAATATCTTAAGTATGAAAAGGTATATCGCACCAGCACACCACATAAAACAATTGCAGCATCTTCTGCACTCACTGGCACTGGCAAAAAGTACAGAAACAACATTACCATATTATATCATTACATTTTTTGAATTGCGAAATATACCGCACAGAGAGAAATAACCTGTGCCAAACTAACTGGCTTCCTTCTGTCAATGTATCATGCATATCCCCTTTTGCAGTTAGTCTCCTTGTATAAGATTTCACAGTGCTGGAACAGACAGAGTAAGGAATATTTTTTTCATTCGTCTTCGCTCTATGTCTCTTAAGTCCAAAAACGTATCTATGAACATTTTAATGCTTTGTTGGTATAGTGAAAGCTTGGCATTGTGGCTGCCCGTCTACTTTTCCATGTATCAAACCCATCTTTTTTTCTCCATTGGGATTCTTATTGCAGATTAGTCTTTTATAGTGCTATTAGTGGGCGTTGTGATACACAACTATAAAAACATGTAGAAGGAAAAATCAGTTCTAATCGTATTATCACAGTCATAAATTGTCAACAGGCTGACACGTTCTCTCAAGGTTTCCAATATTTAAGAAAAGTACCCATTGAAAATCTAATCTGCGCCGCATTTTTAAGTGTCATATTTATTTCTGCTTTGAACTTTGAATTTGTGCTCTGTGGTATTGAGCCATCATGGCTGACAGTAACTTAGGTTATGTAACGAGCTGTGTGTCTCCTGCAAGTCCGCAATCTGATTTCACTTAGCATTCCCCAAAGGTTCTAAGTTTAACTTTGATCTGTAAAAATACAATAAATCAAAAGAAATAGCAAGATGTTTCAGAGACTTCTTTTGTCTATTTTTGTGTGAATAAAGGTTTTCCAGATTATTAAAGGGCAAATGGTTTTGAAAAACAATCTACCTTCTGCTTGTGTAAGAGCTGAGTTGTCTTACATAAGGACACCTGACGGTGCAAATCAAGTCAATAAACAGAAACGCAACCTATGAGGGCTGCTTTCCTTCGAAGTGCAGCGTTTAGGAAAACTCGATAACTCATTTGAACTGGTGCTCCCTGACCCCACCATGTATTTCTCTAGTAAATCATCTTGCAATAAGCTCTGACGTCTGGCCCCAGGGGTCACCCAAATTTCCGGCTTACGATTTATGTGTCGGTTTGCTGATATTTGCTAGAAGTACAGAATCTAAAACCAAAAAAAGTCTATTGCTTTTTTTTTTTTTTTTTTTTTTTAATCCAAAACAGTTATATAGTTTTGATCTTCCATGTTGGCATAAGATAAATTGAAATTCTTTTCCCATTTCATTTAAAAGGTTGCAGTGTCTTTTAGAGTGAGTTTATCTCTGACCCTGTTAAGTTTTAAATAGCTGCTTTTGCAGTGTGGGAGGAAAGACCTAAACTGTTAATTAAGTTCACTGAATAAGATGACTAAAAGGCAACTCCTTAAAGGTTAAAGACACTGTAAAGTGAACTGCTACATCATTTAACAGATACCCATATACAGACATGATGTCCTCGTTTTAACCTGGCTACATTTAGAAGAAACACGCTCGTCTTTGGCCTTCAAACACACTTAGAAATCATTTGTGTATTCAAAGTAGACTGAAACCTTCACCAATCAAAGGCGGGTAAACTTCTCTCCATTTTATGATGCTTGAGTCATCCTCGGACCACAGCATGTGTGACTCTCCTTTCCAGCACAGTCATCTGCCTGCTGGTAAAAGATTTCTCCAGCATAAAAGTGCTGTAGTGTACATGGGAAACAATGTTGGAGGACAGCTGGGCCAAATGTCTTGTTTTTACCAAGTAGTTTTCTTCTGTTCCTATTGTTAGATTTCTCTGAAAGACACACAAGTTTTACAACCAGCCAGCACCTCCGAAGAAATTGCCATAAAGGATATTAATACAGTCATTGACAATTAAACAAGAATCCCCAGAGAAACTGTTTATTGTTTTGAACGACTTGTAAAGTTATTTTTGTCCTAGAGTGTAATAAAGTTTAACAGCTATACCTGATTTAAATGATGTAAAACAGAGTTGAAATTTGCTTTCAGACATTGAAGTAAAATTTTGCCCATTTCCCAACTTTAACTCTCTTTTAACCACTGCAGTCTAAAAATATAGTGGCTTGTAGAAGTTTTATTACCCAATGAGTTTATTCAGGGTCAGGGTATGAAACAATATCCAAGCATCTCATAGAGCGCTTTATATTTATTTGTGTTGCTCTGTTACATAAAATCCCCATAAAATACATTCAAATTTGTGATTGTAACATATGGAAAAGTTAGGATGTATGAATATGCTTGCGAGTAACTCTATTGTATTTAAATTACAAGTTTCCTATATAGGGAATGCCCACAAACATTACACTATAGAATACATTCTGGGATTGTGAGAGTTACGTACCTTTCACCTCTGCCAAAGAGTAGTCAATAGGTTGTGGAGAAACATAGTGACAGACAAACAGAAGAAAAAGCAAATATGGAGAGAAAAGGCGAGGAAGCATGGTTGTATTTATCTTACGAGAGGTTATGAACCGTTTTTATTTCTCAGAGATTTGGAGCTCGAGCAAAAGTTGGCCAAAACTAACAGTTACAATTTTCCAGAGAAATGTCATTTTCTCACCATTCAACTGTAGCACCATAATGATGGTTATTTTCACAGCCAGCAAATGTGCTGTAATGCAAATGCTGGCAGTAACTTTTAGATAGATTAAAAATAAGTACTCTTCTGGTTCCTCCATGACTTTGTACTCCAAATGGCTATATAATTTGGTAAATGCTGTGATCTTAAACTCAGCACATATAAAACTTTTTTTTTTTTCCCCCAAGGTAAGGCCTGGATCTGACATAGTTCTGCACAGTAGTTTCAGCTGGCATATCAACCAACAAACTAGCACTACACTGTGACATCATGTGGCCATCCCTATTGGCATTGATGCTGTTTGGCATTGAAAGTTTTGCGGCAATGCTTCATTACCACTACTTGGTCTTTTGGCTCACAGAAAACTTATGAATGAAGTACTTCTTTACAGTCAAAAAGTGATTACCTTTATGTGTGGCTCTTAATTATTGAATAGAGACCAGAGTGGAGATTGATTGCAGCTTACTGCAGCTTAAGTGTTTTATACGTACATATATCAGAATTTAGATTATTACCATTTTTTTATGATAAATGACACGTATGGAAAATTAATCATTTCTATGAGAAAGGCATCTTTGGTCCTAAGCACAGTGGAACAAGGAAATCAGGGCTGTTTGTAACTCCTTTTATCAGTAGGTTGAAAAGAAGCATCTTGAGTGACATGCTTGTCAAGAAAGTTCATCCAGAGAAGAAAGTAAAAGCTGACACTGATGTGATTCTTTCTCTCTCTTCCTTTCTCTCACTACTCCAGTTGTTAACAGGAACCTTGGACGGGAAGCTACGACTGTTTCAGTCAAGCACAGGGTCCCATTTGTCCCATGACACCAGCGCTGCTGTTCATTGCATCTCTAACGTGACTGCGTAATTACAGATGGCTGCAGGAAACACCATGCAGCTTTCATTAAGGGAGCTGAAACCCACAGGCAAGGATTTTATAAGAAAGGAAGAATTTAAGTATTTTGTTTCTGTTGCTTTCAGCTAAAATGAAGATCAAAAACACGCTAAGCGTTACTGCTGATGTATGTTCTTTTGTGTTTGCTATGAATTTTAATAATGAGCAACACGTTGCAGCTTGTTCATCTTAGCTAATCCCCCAATGTTTACTTATTTCCTTCTGAGAGTCAGAGGAATGTCAGAGTTAGCCACATTAATGTGGTAAGTCTGTATTTGATAATTGTAGATACATTTGCCAAAAGCATTGTTATAGATCATTCTAATTTCTGAAGCATTTAGACACTCAAGCATCACAATAACTATTGTTACTTATGTGGAACAGATGTATAGAATCAGAGGCGGTGGCCACTATTTACCAGATCACTATGTCAGAGCCATGACATCAACTGGGTGCAACCGTTTTGGCTGCCAGAAACACATATGCTCCTACTGTTCATACTAACAAAACAGGCTTCAGTTTTTTTTAGCTCCATAGTAACTCTTTTCTCCCCGAATCATGAGTAATATAAATGTTTGCAGGGTAAAGACAAAAAGTTGTTGAGTTCCATTTTATGCAGATGATGCACTAGTGTAGTCTGTTAAAAAACAGTCTAAAGGACATGAGAATGTCTTTAATACAAGACATAAACCTAAATGCAGATTTAGCTCTCTGATTATAATTTGTAGCTAGGGTGCCGTAATACATTGAATATCAAATATTAGTGTGCAATATTGCTTCACAAAGGACTGATTTTGCATAGTATTATGTTTTAAGTGTAGCTGATTTATGCTATTTATAATAATAAATAACGTTAAGACTGTAACATCCCTGAATGAACACCTCACTGGTCCACTATAAGCACTCAAATTGGGTTAACCAAAAGCAATTTTTAATTGTTCTAAATTGTATTACATACATTTGTCCCCTTTTCTTTACGTTATTTTTGTTTTAGTTTTGACTTCTATTTAGTTTCCTAACAAATACAAGAAGAAATGAATTAATGCCAAGTTTGGAGAAGGGGCTGTGTTTTTTGTTTGTTTGTTTTCATGCTTGCTTAATTTAGTTCTTCTTGACCTTACTTATACAGTGTTAACTGTTTAGCTTGTTTACAGATGTTGTTCATCCAACTATATAAGTTGTCCACATTGAGAACACTAGAATTTATGTCGCACAAGTGAGGATAGCAGCATTCACAGGAAGCTAACCATTAACCCAAAACAGCATAATCACTGTCCACCAGCAGTAGGTTACTCAAACTTAAAATTGATTAATTAGGGATCTTAATCTGACAACAGTCAACTGACACAAGTAATCTGAAACAAAAGGAATAGAACAGGTCAAGACCGGTTCTTCTAGACTAAACTAATAATGGTCATGATATGTAGGCTATTATAAGCATTAGAGACGTCTTCTCCCCGGACCCCGAGGCTGGTGGGGGAGGCCGAAGTGCAGATGGAAGCCTGAAGGAGCTGGGAAAATGAGGCTGGGGAAGGGGCGGAGGTGGGCTGAAGCTCAGGTGACGAGCAGATGGAGTCATGGATGGAGCACCTTATAAACGGAGGCTTGCTTTATGATTGGCTATGATGAGGTGTGGTCCGATGCTGATAGGCTGCAGTTGAATATCAGCGATTGGATGACGCAGGTGAGGCTGAAGAGGGTCTTCCAGTTTGAATTTTTGCCTTGGCTTCTTTCAAATCTAGAGCGACCATGAAGCACTTTAGAAGGGCTGACACTGAGGTTGGTGGTTGCCAGTCGGAGCAGAAAATCTGCTAATCTGCAAATAAACACACTCCTCTTCTCTGCTTGGATACAAGGAAAAAAGAAAAAGATTAAATATTTTCTTCTGTTGATGTTACTTTATAAATCATATCAAACCGCTTGCTTCTGTTTTCTCCAGAAAAACTTCTACTACTGGTATTTTGCAACACTTAATCAAATCTTCAGAGGCTTCAGAGGACTTTACCTTTCTGGAAAATATTAAAATTTCCAGCTTAACTCATCTCCTATCCATTAGGAAAGATATTGTACTTGATGCTGGTGCTGAAGATGGAATGATAAATCCTCTCCTGGGCTGCTGATTCATAGGAGTTCTCATTTCTTTCTTGTTCTCTGTCCAGTAGTCTGCTTTTGATTTATACTGTCTTTTTGGACTATGTGCTTTAATTGATTCCAAAGCCAGATTGCCATCTGTTTTATTATTTTGATTTCAACTTATATATTAGTAGCAGCCACATGTCTTATCACAAATTCTGGTGTTGGGTCTGTCGAGGATTATGTTTGTCTGTAGTATGTGGGATTTGGTGTCTGTTTTTGTGCTACAGAGACAGATATGTACTGGCAATGCTGGGTTCATCCTATCATGGTGAGCTTTAGTGTTCCTCCAAGCAGAAAAATAGGCAAACAAAACATAATAAATTGTCTGTTTTGACTAAATTTATGAAGCAGCATTCTCCCCCCTTCTGCATGCTAGAACGTGTTTCTATCTTCTATTAAATGAAATAAACTGCTGCTTTTATAAACTCAGAACATTTTTTTAGACAAAGGTTATACATTGCCATATGCGCACATTCCTCTTGTGTGTGAGATCTTTTTTTTTTTTTTTTTTGGTGTACTCCCTACGTTGATCTCATCAGAACAGAATGGGGATGTAGCTGAAAATGGCCGCACCTATGAGCCCTCATTTATTCCTGTAAGGAGTTTAATTTTTCATAAAATGTTTTTGTTCTGTTAGAAGAACTTTGTCTGGACCAGGGCGTGCACAGATTTAGGACTCCGGGCAGAATGTGACACCACATTCAGTGAAAACAGTCTCTTTGTATCCCAGTGTTAATGCAAATGCTAAAATATCTCACAATGTTGTCTCATTACCCCTTTAAATTTCAGTTTGCATGCTCTTGAAGCTATACTTTGGGCTTAAATTTGTGAGTAATCAGCTGAATATTCAACAAAATGCTACAATGAACTCAAAGTTACAGAAGGTGAATTTCTACAATGCCTGAAAAATGTTTATGTCCTTTGAAATTTGCCACATTTCATCATATGTGGCAATGATGAAACTTCAAGATGTTTTATTTGGGTGACCAAAGCAGCACATTATGGCGATGTGGAATAAACAGCATGGTATTTAAAATGCTTCTACAAAACAAATCTGAAAAGCAAGGCTTGCTATTCAACCACTTTTACTTTAAGTGACATCTACTTCAGCAATTTCAGAAGGCACGACCAACCTGTATAACTTAACATAAGTATAAATACGGTTGTTCTGGGAAGACCTTAATGGTTTCTTGGAGAATTCTAGTGAATAAACAGCACAATGAAGACAGGGTCTCGCTGTAAAACAATCCCAAAGCTTTGAAATTATTCAATAGAAAAAAAAAAAAATTCCCATAGAAGAATTTTGTGTCTCTCTTGCTAATTTTCTCTTATTGGGAGCAGAAACAGCTGGACAGCAGATAGGGTTTTATTTATTTGTTTTTCTGGCTGATTAATCAAAAAGGGATTTGGGCTTTAAACATTTTACTACACTGTTTCAAAACAATCGAACGGAATAAATTGTACCATAAAACCAGTCAATGTGTGGTTTATTGAGCAGTTGTTAAGATTTGGATGACTAAGGTAATGATGTAGATCCTTTGAGAGAAAAAGGGAGATGTCTGGGAAATTAAATAAAGCTCTGTAAAGCACTAATTAAGCACAGCAGCAAACAGAAAATAAGCCAGGTATAATCATCAAAGTGCTGGGAAATTTCTGCTAATCTCCTACTATTAACACAACCAACACAGGTATCAATAACAGATCATAAAATCAAATATCATAGACAAAAAAAGCTCTGTGAGGTGAAATTCTATTCATTCAACTATTGTGACGTTTTCAATGTATGCTAAATAATGAAAGGACACACACAAAAAAAAAAATAATAAAATCACCATTAGAAGGCCTGTAACACAAAGTGCCCACGAGCAGCCAGGGGTTAATGGACTCAATTCTGGAAGGTCATGGGGGATCCTCATAGACAGACATATGCACCCTGTAGAGCAGTCACAAATTAGTTTGCTAGTCAAGCAAAGGAGCATCTGCTTCCAAGCCAAAGATGCAGTGAAGCCCAGGACTCTACTCCCTCCACCCTCCTGGTTGCTCAAGGCATCACACAAAGATGTACCCCCCACCCTCTGAGAGTCCAACACGCTGGGCAGGGACTAGACCACTGTGGCTGCTGTAACTCAGAAGGACCGAGGAGGGCACATTACCACCCCTCGGGGGCAACAAATACCACATGTGGCCTCTGTCCAGGAGTCAACAGATTAACTAGTTACCAATCCATCATATGGCCAATACAGACCCGAACAACCATTCATGGTTGCGTTACATATTCTGTTTGAACTATGTTAATAAACCAAAGATCCTTATTGAACTGCCCTTACACAGTGAGAAACTGAGAACTGCCTCAGCCAAGACAAGATCTTCTTACAATGATGTAACAGGAAAACAACGCTGATGTCATGCTTCCCCATAGGACATTGTTTTTAATCTTGTTTGTCCTTTGCATTCACAAAAAACTAAGCCAAACATTATATCCAGCTCATATCCCATATTGCAAAGGTTAGTAGTGCTGCCAAGAAAAGAGGCGCTCTCCTTCAAAAACAACCACCATCTAAACATCAAAATGTGATGGAGGCGTACCGGCATTTGTTTAGAAAATAGACATCATTACAAATTATGAATATTTGTGTTAGCTGTGTACTCTAAAACATAGTAGGTTAAAAACTGTTCAATTTGGATTATTTTGTTTGCCTGGAACTGTGTTAAAAATATGGCAACAGAGCTGGGTTGTGGCTTTATGTTTTTGATCAGTGATGACCATAACTTAGATTCCAAAAAAATATTTGGGCCAAAAAGATAACAATAATAATTAGATTAGATTAGAAATCAGAAATGACCATTTGTAAGGAATGACAAGGCTGCTTCCAGTCTCTTTTCAAATTCAGAAAATTGGGCGACAGTTCTATAAACAACGTTTGGTTCA